TATAGATGTCCTAGTCAATAATGCTATGAAGAATGCCACTTATTCATTCATGAATAGGTTATGAGGGTACAATCAAATCAAGATGATAGTAAATGACATGAAGAAGATGCCATTTGTCACACCTTAAGGAACTTTTTACTATAAGCTTATACCTTTTGGATTGGGCCACTTACCAAAAAGCTATGTTACTTTATTCCATGACATGATTGCTAAATCTAAAAAAAAAAAATGATACCTTAATCATGAGAAAGCTATTTAAGAGGCGAGGAAATGTCGATTGAGGTTGAATCTACAAAGTGAACTTTTAGTGTGAAGTATAAAAAATTACTTGGTTTCATAGCAAACAATAAGAGAATTGAAGTTGATCCCAATAAAGTCGAGCCATGTAGAGTATGCCTTTACCATCAATCGAGAAAGAAGACAAAAGCTTTCACGGGTTACTTGAATTATATTGCTCACTTCATCTCTCAATTTATTAATACTTATAAGCCGGTATTTAGATTGTTGTAAAAAAAAAATCTTAGTGTATGGGATTAAGATTGTTAAAAGGCCTTTGATAAGATCAAGCTATATTTACAAAATCCATCACTATTAGTACCACATATACCAAGAAAACCATTGATTTTGTACTTGTAAGTGATAGAAATAGCTATAAAAAGTGTCTTCGGTCGGTAAGATGAGTCAAGAATGAAAGAATAAGCCATCTACTATTCGAGTAAGAAGTTCATCGTCTATAAGTTGAGATACGAGTACATTAGAGAAGGCTGTGTTATGGTTTAGTGTGGTGCACATTACAACTCAAATAGTATATGCTTTATTACATTACTTGGCTAATCTCAAAAATAGATCCTCTTAATTATATCTTTGAAAAGCCATACATTTCTAGCTAGATTGTAATATGGCGAGTCATGTTATTTGAATACGATATTGTATACATAACAAGGAAAGTAGTAAAAAGACATGTCATCGCTTACCATTTAATAGATAATATAATAGATGACTATGAAACTTTGAGATTTGATTTTCCCGATGAATCAATTATGGTGGTCTAGAAAGAAGAGTCAAAGTCGAAGAATGATGTATGGGTCTTATATTTTGACATGGTCGTTAATGTGTTAGGAAATGGTATTAGGTCAATCTTGATTTCACCAAAAAAGAGACAGGTTTCCCATGGCAATTGAGTTATAGTTTGAATGCATAAACAACATCATCGAGTACGAAACATGTGTGCATGGCCTAGAAACAATCTTAGAAATGAAGATAAGCAAGCTTGGTATATATGGCGACTCCGTGCTCATAATCAATCAAGTAAAATGAGAGTGATAGATAAAAGATGAAAATATAAAGCCATATCAAAAGTAGTTAACAAAGCTAGCTAACCGAGTTTAAAGAGATTACGTTTACCCACCTAGCTAGGGAGAAGAATCATTTTGCTAATGCACTAGTAACATTGCTTCTATGACTGAAATTGAATGTGGGATGAAGATTTAACCTATATGCATTGAAACCAAAAATACTCTAGCATACTACTATAGTCCGATTGAGGAAGAAATAGATAGGAAGCTATAGTACCATGACATTAAACGAGTTTATTAAAAATGAAGAGTATTCGACCGATACAACCAAGAATGATAGGAAGATGCTAAAAATATCAGCCATGAATTTTTATCTTGATGGTGAAATCTTATACAAAAGAACTTTTTAATAGCTCTCTACTAAGATGTTTATACCAAAGTAAATAAGACTATAAGAGAGGTCTATGAAGGGTTCTATGCTACACATACTAATGGATATATGATCACTTAGTAAATTCAATGAAGTGGTTATTTACGGACCACCATGAAGAAATAGTACATCGATAATGTTCAAAAATATCACAAATGTCGATTCATACCGATCGGATAAATGCTCCATCAGCACCCCTCTTCAACATGGTATCGCCCTGGCCATTTGCAATATGGGGCATGAATGTCATTGGATTGATAAATCCTAAGGCAAGCAATGAAGACCATTTCATTCTAATAGCAATTGATTATTTCACCAAGTGGGCTGTAATTTTTTCCTTTATACATGTAACTTAGAAGGTCATTTGTCGATTTATTGAAAAAGATGTAATATTTATATATGGCTCTTTTAAAACTTTAGTGACGAGAAAATGCTTAAAACTTCAATGGAAAAATGATAACATATTTATGCTAGTGGTGGATGATAAAGCACCGTAAGTGCTCTCTATATAGATCCAAGATGAATGGACTCGTGGAAGAAGCAAACAAGAACTTAAAGAAGATTACCCAAAAGATGGTGGTGTTGTACAAAAGCTGGCATGAGATGGTACCATTTTCCTTGCATGCTTATTAAACAACTATCAAAACTTTAACAAAAGTGACTCCTTAATATCTAATATACATAATGGAAGAGTAATGCCTTTAGAGGTCGAAACACCCTCTTTAAAAGTCTTAAAAGAAGGCCGAGTTAGAAGAATCCAAATGGATAAAAATTCAATATGAACACTCGAATTTGATAAGTGAGAAAAGACTTACTACCATATGCCATGCCCGATTGCATCAAAAAAGAATGGTAAGAGCATATGATAAGTAGATGCGTCGGAGAAGTTTTTAGGAAGGGGAACTAATATTGAAGAAAGTGCTCGTAAATACCGAGGGTAAATCATAGTAAATAGGCACCGAAGTATGAAGGCCTTTATGTGGTAAAAAAAAAACATTCTCGAGTGGAGCTCTCATTCCGAAAAACATGGATAATGATGAACTATCTAAGCTAGTGAATTCGAGATATCGTAAAGAAATATTGCACTTAAGTTGTAACTTACTTTAGTTCAAAGCAATAAATATTTATCAAATTTTGACCAGTCTAATTTATGTGTCAGCATTTTCTCTTGCTTCTTATTTTCTTTGATTGCCTCTCATGATCAAATTTATGATTTTTTTAATTCTTTTTTTTAAATACAAAACCACATTTTGATCGATCCTTAAAAGCCTATTTCCTTGATCCTCTACATAATGGTGTATTCATTATTTATGAAGCACAATAAATAATTCAAAATATCAAAGAATGACATGATAAAGTGATTTACCAAGGTCTTTAGCCTAATAAGACCTTCTAAATCATGCTTGCTTAGAAAGCAAATCGTAGGACAACTCGGATAATTTTGATAAGTCGAAAGAAATTCACATGGAGAGCAAACTCGAGGGTATGATGGGTAGAATCTAGAGTCCAAAAAGGAAAAATCATCGTGTCCCCAAACATAAATCGGATGGTGTTAACATGCTCGGATGACCTATAATCAATAGCTACAACATAATGCATAGATGGGCCGAGCTAAAAAAAGTAGAAAACATTGCACTTCAATTGTAGAAGAGAAAGGTATCGTCAAACCGAAGGAGAAATTTGGTTTGAATAATTACTTATACTTCAAATAATGAAAAACATAATTTGTAAGCCAAAAATGAATATCAAACAATAACCCTTCGAGTTCCATCTAGCCATCTTATCCATCAAAGATCGGATATCTTAAACTATAAACCTAGAAAATGTTTATCTTTAACCGAAGTCTTGTCTAAGGTCAGTCTATGCAAAGTTAAAACTCGAATGGTTAGTCATATATTTTAGAGTCGATGATATCTATCACATCCCTCCATGCCAAAGTGGTATGTCGAGCCTAGTAGAGTCAAAGTGGTCCGTCACATCCTATCAAATAAGAACAATCTGCTAAATATAGTATAGTTAAAATGGTATATCGTATCCATCGTAGTTGAAGTGGTTTTTTCATCCTACAAGGTCGGGATGGTCTATTATGCCTTATAAAGTTAGAGTGATTTGTCACATCCTACCAAGTCGAGTGGTCTATCATGTCTTACAACGTTAAAGTGGTTTATCACACATAGTGGAGTCAAAATGGTTTGTCATGTCCTACCAAATATAAATGGTCCACTAAATATAGTAGAGTGAACACGGTCTATCACATCCCTTCAAGTCAAAGTGGTCTATGATATCTTACAAGGTCGGATTGGCGGGGCACGTCTTGAAATGTCGAATGGGTCGTCACATCCTATAAGGCTAGATTGGTTTATCAAGTCTTGCAAAGTCAACGTGGCTTGTCACATCTTGTAAGGTCGAGTGGTCTATTACATCTTATAAGGTTAGGGTGATTTGTTATGTCTTGTAAAGTCGGTATGGTCCGTCACATCCTATAAGGAAAAAATGCTCGTCATACCTTGTAAAATTAGTTGTCGATCACGTCTCATTGAATGGTCAATTGTTATTTAAATTTGATGATTATCTTTTTCTTATCTATGTTTGCTCATATTTTACACCGTATTTTAGTTTTTTTCTTTACAAAGCTTTTTATGCAAAGTCGAAGAATAAACTTTCAATGACTTTATGACGAAAGCATTATAAAGAGAAGGCAACTATTTTCACCCAAATTTTACCCTCATTAGTTTTATTTCTTTTTTTATTTTTATCATAAAATACAAAACAAGGTGAAAAAATAAGTTTAAAAAAAGTGAAAATGGTGAACAAAAAAATGCCAAGTATAAAAGAAAAAAGAAAAAAATCAATTGGAGTAATTAGCTTAGGATTAATTCTAAAAAAAAGGGTGAGGAAGCCAATTAAGAAAAATGGAAAGTTTAGAAGTAATAAAAAGGGAAATTGAGGGCCTAATAAAAAAAAACCAAAACTTATTTCGTTTAATTAAACTAAGGAAGGGGTATAATTAAAAGAAACCAAAAAGAAAAGCCCCAATTAATTTAGATTTAGGAGTCCCATCGAAACAAGAACCAAAATTAAATTCAAATTGATGGATGATAATGAATCGGGGACTAAATTGGACTTTTACCAAAAACCTTTACCTATAAAACCCATTGTCATGTAATTTTTATATATATTCTACAATTCAACCATCGTCTTCCTCCAATCGCCTTCCTCTCCCGCACTACTACAACTCCAAACTCACCCATATAACCCACCATTTTCACTTCTTCTCAAGCCCCATACAAAACAAATTCTATAACCATCCATACAAGTTGACCCCTAAGCCCCCGTCTCTTCCTCGTATGTATGATCGCACCTATAAACCCCTCCTTCTCATGAGCAAACAATAGCTCTAGCTCATATGCGGCCCCTACTACCGAGCTTCTCCTCATGCATAGCTCTTCTCCATATCGACCATTTCTTCTTTCGACAACCATCAAGTCCTTTCCTTCACCTATAAACTCCTTATAACACCCCCTAAGCTCTAGCCACCAATACCCCACACCATCCACTCCCAAGCCCGAGATAGCCCCACTAGTTGGTTACCTCTTCACGCATCCATCTATATGCTAATAGTTACATAAGCAAGCTTTCTCATATACCCGATAGTGCGAGCCCATCTCGTACCTCATATAACGAGCATCCCTAGCCACAACCCTACTCACAAGCACCTATCATACACTTTTAGTAGCTCACCTTGCACTAGCCTCGGTTGTAGTCCTCACGAGTCCCACCCATTCTTGTGTTTTACATCCTTACAACCTCAAAATTCCTCATATGTGGATATTTCCTCCGGTCTAATAATCCCTCACAGAGCTCACAACGCCGGTGCCCTTATAGCTAGCGACCACTTATAGCTAGCGGCCACTTACACGTTAGTTCTTTCCACTACCACTCATAACTAGTCGGCCCTTTAGCATGTCAAGTAGCTTTGAGTTATTAACATGCATCCTTTTGCCTCTTTGGTCCTTTAGCGACCAACTAGTCGCCTAAAACAAAAGGAACAAAAGGAATAAAAAGATTGAAAATTTGTTGTTGCTTTATTTGTTTTTATAGGGAAATACAACAACATAAGTCACCTAGAGTTTTTGAAAATTTTATAAAGCTTCAATAAATTTGTAAGTTTACAACAACTTTTAGAGCAATAATAACTTTGGCCATTTTCATAGACTTTGGAAAAAAATTTGACCATTTTAATAGGATCCACATCATATTTTGCATATAAGTAGTTACTCTCCTTTCCTAGCTAACTCGAATAATCGGTTTTCATCGAGAATGAAGAGAGTAAAACTAACTTTAAATCAAACATTCGAGCTATAGAACTTTTGGATAAGAATTTCAAAACTAATATGCTCTTTAAAGATGATTGGATTATTTAAAAATGTGCATAAAATTATTAAACTTTGTTTAAGTATTAGTAGTTTAAATATGGTTGAAGCAAACATTGCTATAATGGCCATTAGAGGACAAACTACACTATTTTACTATTTTACTCCTACATGTCTAAATGTGAAGTTTATCTTATTTTTATAGTTGGTTGATTAATTATGTCCGATTGTGTGAATGAAAATATTGCATTTTGTCTAAGTATTTAAGGTTTAAATATGAATTGAAGGAAACATTGTTATAATGGCTATTAAAGGAAAAAAATATACTATATTACAATTTTATAACTGCATATCTAAATGAGAAGTTTATGCTTATTCTTATGGATGATTGATTAATGGTGTTTGATCGCAACACTAAAATGAAGCTACCGATAGCTTCCCACTTATGTGACGAAGCCACTTGGTGCTTTCGGGATCATTTTGTCCATTTCTTGTATTTGCTTTCTTGTTTTATGTTTCTTGTTTCCTTTTTCTGTTTCTCATTTTTTATTCATGTTTTTTGCTTCCTTTTACTGAATTTGAAATAATTAAAATGAAGGCTGCTAGTGCTTCCCATTTATGTGACGAAGCCGCTAGTGGTTTTTGTATTATTTCATCTATTTTCTATCCTCGTTTCTAGTTTTTATTTCCTATTTTCTATTTCTTTTTTCTAGTTTCCAATTTCATGTTTCTCATTTTATCAAAAAAAAAAAGAAAAAAGAAAAAACAAAGTCACCTAGGTGGTTTCGATATAATTTTTATTTAATGTCTACTTATTTGAAATGAAGTTGTCAATACTTTCCACTTATATGATGAAGCCACTAGTGGTTCTAAAATAGTTATTTGCTCCTTGGTCGAGCTAAATAAAGTGGTCGGTAGCTTTCCACTTTTGTGATGATGTTATCATTAGCTTTCTAAAATCATGACTCGAAGTCGCTAATAGCTTCTCACTTGTATGAGTAAAGTTATCAATGACTCGGTGCTCATGTCAATAAAAGGCGATCCATCTTTAGAAACTCACTAATTTGCTAAATAGGTTGTGTTCACTAATGATCGGTCGAAATTACAACTCCCCGCCTTTGCTCTTGGGTAAGGAGTATTGGCCGTAGATCGGCTTAGACTTTCAAACTATCCTGTTTTACACCCGAGTTATCTTGTTCTATATTTTTATAAAACAAATGCATTTAAATATGCATAAAAGAATAACACATTAAAATTAGATTTTTTATGTTGATAGGAAACAATGTAGCTTACCTTAGCTTAGACGGGATGGCGATGATATTATATCTTTCCTATACATAACTAATCTTTTATCCAAATATCCATGTAGACCATTATGTTTAGGATTTTTTAGTTCTCCTCGATTAGCTAGGTAGTGATTCCTTGTCCGGCCACCCTTCGTAGTAGCCGACGTCGACACAAACAATATAGCGTAACTTAGGTAGAAGGGGATGATAGTGGTGTTATATCTTTTCCATATGTAACAAATCGCTTACTTAGATATCTTTATAGGCCAATATGTTTAGGGTTTTTTAATTTTCCTTGATTAGTTAGGTGCTGACTCTATGCTTCCTACATATCCTTCGCATGCCCCACATCAATAAAATTAGCGACTTCTCCGGGTCGTATGCAATGCTAGGATCAAGTTTTGAATGTCTATGTTCATGAATCTCTATTTCTTTGTTATGCTTTCATGGCTATATATTTTGAATAAATAATTAACCTTTAACTATTTGCTTGTTTATTTGATTGTATATAAATATGGTGTTTTCCTTACATATTTTATTCGTTTAAATGTTTGTCCTTAGTTTTTGAGACTAGATATAGGGCCATGCCCTCACACACAACACTACACATATTATCTTTCACACATACTTGCCTTTGGATTTAAGAAGGAATTACTATCGTCCCAAAGGGTTTCACCCCGAGTAATACTAAAAAAATCTCTACCCTTTTGAAAAACTATCACTAGCACAATAGGTAACCGATGGTCTCTACAATTACCACCTTTACACTTGATCAATCTCGGTTTACTTACGTTGAAAGGGACCATGTTGAGACTTAGAAAGATTCTACCTAATCTTGTAATGATTAGCAAGGCATCATATAAAGACACCTCTTTTATCTCTCAATACATAAATTAAGATTAGTCTTTAGCAAGGCATCATGACTATCTAATTTTCTTAGAGGATTAATTAATCTGTAATTACCTTTCATAAGCATGGTTACCATATAATTCAGTCTTCATGTTAATTTATCATAGTGTGATCTCAAACTTAGTGTATATTCTATTCAATTATGATCACACAAGTTTTCTTCCATTCCTAAATGTCTTAGCTCTAGAATAAACCAATTATGCTCTATTGGTTTTCTCCTAATATGACTATAGATTTCTTGAGTAGACATTTATTGAAGTGCAATGTAATAATTCCTTTAGCATGTAAGGAATGACATATCCTATCTTACTCATCCATCTATTTTTATTAGATTCCTAATGCACCCAATAAATAACCCATGTGCGACTCTTGACTAAGCATATCAAAACAAGTGTCAAAGTATATAAATCCTTTAATAAGATAAAAATGATGACTTCAAGTTAAGGCATTAATTGTACCCATCTTGTATGAGATTCTCATAGACTAAACCAAATGGGTTCTCATGACGAGTCAAGTCTAGTGATATGTTCTCTAACATTAATCACCTAAGTGCTTGCGTTGGCATCACTATGTTAATAGGTATGAGATCTTCTACTGTTATTTTATAGTATGAGCATAGCACTCACAAGTCCTACCGCATATAATAATGTCCATTCTTGATAATGTCACGACTTTAGACATTTAATGATATCAATTAAAATACAATAATATTTGTCTCACATCTTTTGATCAATCATGAATGTATTGAATATCATATGGACTTCTATCTAATCTTATCAAAATATAACTAATAAAAATTAATAGAAAGACTTCCTTATATTAATAAAATAAAGAATGTAATATTACAATAAGTTAAACCATCTAAATAAGAATAAGATTGGATGTCTAGCACCTACACTAACAGATCAATGGAAAAAGGTGCTAAAGAGTAAGTCGGAGAGTATGCTTAGAGGTAAGAAGAAACTACTTTAAGAATTCAACCACCATTGCTAGAGAAAGAGTTAGTCCACTATTTCTAAATACTTTTAAGCCTCTCTACTATCACTATCTATTGAGCAATAAGTCTAATAATTTTGTTGAGATAATATCCGTACCTAATCACTTCGAGTAGGCCATTGAGGTAGGTAGAGTAGCCGATTCTACTAAGTCAAGCTCTAAGAGGAGTCACTTTGGGAAAAGAAAAGATATAGGCGTGTACCAAGTCAAAGCATTGATCTTTCATCCAAGAGGATGTTGGGAGACTCCATGGAAGGCTAATAGTCAATTTGTGTCATAAGGTAACTCGGCTAGTCCCATCCCCTAATTCATAACACTAAAGAGTGTTATACCTACCAATGTTGTTTGTTTGACAACTTAGTCTCTAGCCTTCATACAACCTTAGATGCAAACTATTCCTAAGAATCTGCTAGCATCTAAATAGCTTAATAACCGGCGAGTCCCATTTAATCGGAATGATCGGAAGAAAAATGAACGGGTAAAATATAGAAACACCTTGCCACCTCCATTGATCTCCCTAGGGGACATGTTCAAGCATCGATGACCATTGATTAGAAAACTTCGTGCCTATGTTTCCATTGCAATTGTTGTATCCCGGATGGTACAAGCTGAATGAGACTTGTGAATACCATCGTGATGCAACTAGACATAATATCAAAAATTATGTCATCTTTAAGAAGAGGGTTAAGTCATTAATCGACCAAGAGTGGATTACATTCAAAGATACACATAATTTTTTATATGTCAACTCGGATCCATTGCCGGATCATACTATCACCGGACGAATAAACATGGTGTTACTTGATGATGTGGCATGCGATAGAGAGGGACCGAGTCTTAAAATTTCTATGTCTTAAGCTGTTTGACATGATGAATACTAGGGGTGTTGATTTGAAGTCCTCCGATTCATAAGCTTTCATTATTCTTGAACAATACTATAAGTTTCATAAGATAAAAAGGCATGATATTGATGACTATATCGAATTCCATCACCTAGTCCAAACCATTCTAGTACTTAGGGACCACGAGGGTCGAAAAGAGAGAGGAAAGTGCCAAAGTGAATGTGTTGTCCTCGGATAATTAAACCAATAATTTTACACCTTTTAGATATGATTCGATTGGAGTGGATCCCATCAAACTAGTTTTTAAAATACCTACGGTTATGAAGACTAACTATCGAATTATTCCTTACAAGTACGGATCCTCTACTTACTCTAGTAAGTCACATGCTCGTCATGAAAATCTTTTCCGATAGGAT